CTGTACCATATTATGAAGAGGTTGGATGGCTTTCATGGCACTATATTTCCTCGAGGGGTTTGAAGTGGCTCATCATCTTCATTTGCTACTACTGTCCCATCTATCTCCAGGTGGGTTAGAAAAAGAATCCTAAAACAAAATTAGAGGTAGCTAACAACTTTAAGGAGAGACATAATTGATTGCATTAATCTCGGCGGCGACAATTGCATTCCGCTTTTTCACTTTGCCTTTTGTTGTTGGCGCAGTTCTAGAAAACTGGAAAAGAAAAAAATGAGATTTTTTTTTTCCTCACCAAGTAGGTCCTTCTAAACAATTTCTTCAAAAGTAATGCTATTTATCCAGATTCTGTCGGTTTATATGGTAGTGAGATCATAGCCACATTTTTCAATGTCTAAAAATGCATATAATGTTCAATGAATATAGTGGTAGAGATCCCATTATCGCATAGATCGATATTAATTTAGACTCAAGATGAACGACACTATTTTTTCCTCAAATGTATAAGGGTGATAATGATATTAAACAAAAGGTGTGGTGTCAAATGAAAAATAGGTCCCTTTTCTTAGAGAAAAAATAAGCTTAAACGTGAATGAGAGGTTAGGAGAAAAACTTCAATTTAGAAAAGCATGATGAGTTTGACTTGACCTAGCTATCTGCTTTCTATTTTATTCTACAAGAGAACGGATCGTTCCACGTAATGTAATGATCAGTGGAATACTGTCCATGAAGATTGGTTATCTAATTCATTTAATCACAACTAACTTAAACATGAACAAACATAATCAATTTATGATTTCGAAGATTGAATTTCTAGTTACTAAATAATTATCTAAGTTGAGCATGCACAATAATATTATAGTAAAATTAATTATCAATTATACGCACTTCTCAACTCCTGCTCTAGGTCGAAAATCAACGATTCAACATTAATAAATAGCCTCTTTCGAGTTCGATCAGTCATATACTCATACATGAACTTAATTGTATGTAATTAAATTTAGAAACAAATAAGCACTCGTTAATTTAAAAGATCACCATATAACGACTTCATATATCATAATGATCTCTCTCTCTCTCTCTCTCTCTCTCTCTCTATATATATATATATATATTAAAAGTGGCTATGTAACGAAATTTCTTGTTTTTAACGGAAAAACTAACGGAATTTGTTGTTTTAACGGACTATGTAACGGAATTTCTTGTTTTAAACAGGCAGCTGCACCTTCTTTCAGTGTTTTTATCATAACTTTGTATTCCGATAT